CAGACAGACAGACGGACAGACAGACGCGAGCGCTTTATATAAAGTAAGAATTGCGGAACCTTTTTTTTCGCACATTCGATTGACGAATACCAGTCAATGTTCTTAACATAGCTGGCTTCCGAGGAGCACCGACTGACTGCCTTTCTTATGTGGTAGTCAAAAATTCGGCGAACAACTGTACTATTTTGTTGTTTGCAGCTTCTTCAGGATGAGCGAAACCAGTAATTCAGGAGCTTTTCGTGCCGGAACGCGACGATGTTTGGTGGTTTCATTTACAGAAGACTAAGGCCAATTTTGTGAACCTAACAATCGGGCTCCTCACATCAGTATACTTAAATGAATGAAAAAAGTTCGGAGAATGCGACTCTCGATCCATTCCATGCCTAATTGATCTTTCAATACTTCGACAAACCTGACACCACCTTCTTCCATGATACGGCGTTGAGATATAGTACTGAACGGAGACGAATTGGTGGCCTGCGGCTGGACACCGTAGATTGGGACACGTGACTGCGGATAACTTGGTATCGCGGTACCGGTAACAAGCCCCATATTCTGGATACCATTGATAGCACTCCCTGAGAAAATCGGTGTATATATTCAACAAACGGAATAGCAAACAAACGAACAACAGGACAAATGTCGCTTGAAGTTAACTAGTTAGAAAACCGCTTATTCAAGGAAGTGTAACTCACCAAAAAAAGTTGGACTATTACCAAGAGTTGGCGTCTGTGGATTCGACTGATTGTATTGCATGTACATCATATGAGGAGCAGGTACACTCGGAAGACCAGAAGATGCGCCTAAAAACAGAGGTGGAGAAAAAGAAGAAAAACGGAGTATTCAGAGAACCGATCCCCACGCTCACAGTGGAAGCCAAATCTGAGAAATCCGAAATCTGGGACTAACCCTACTTTTAACTGGATTTACTAGTGATTGCTTTTCAGAGTGCAAAAGTCTGTTTTTCTTATGCAAAGAGCGGGAGTTGTTCTAGAACCACTTCGATAATGATCTAGTTCAAAACGGTAAAATAAATATTTTTGTAGGAGACGTGAAAGCTTCTTGATCTTCACAGGAAAAGAATGAACTCATCCGTGTCATTTTGTTGGCTTGGGTCGACAGTTCATTTCAACTGTTCTTTGAGAAGCGACAGAAATGAAATGCAACTTTCGAAATCGCAATGGTATCTATCAAATCTGGCTGTTCTCAACAGTTAGGCTACCAATTGAAGCCGATATGAACTCGAGTTCATGTGTTTGTTTGAATACTTTCCTGACCTAATGTCCGCACATCCTTTAAGATGCAAATGCTGCAATGATTGACTGAACTCAGAATTGATGACGGGAATCGATGATCGCGTGCATATCAAAATTGCGTGGATATATGATTGAAATAGCACATACTTGTGAGTGCCTGATCGTGACGGAGTTGGTTTGGAAGTTGCGGTCCTCCTAACGTCAAGTTTGACATGCTATTCGTGACACCTAGCATTGCGTTTTGATATGAAAATGGCGGTGAAGTCGAAAACGCATTCGTTTGCATAGCTCCTGCACCTCCAGCAGTAACACCTTAATGAAAAATTAATTCGAGGAAAAAAAAAAACTACTCGCTATATAAAGACGGTACAGGAAGTCTCACGGAAAAGTAGTGGGAATGAGTAGATACTCAGATCAACGAATGACGTATACCAGAGCAAGGTGCAACGCAGTGTCCAAAAAGGGCGGGAGATGCCCATTGTTTTTTTCATTACTTCTTTGATGTTCCCAAACGATCCCCAAATGCCGGCATTTCTTTCTGCTCAGCTCCAAGTTGGGTCGTTCGGCACGCACGGTATGCGCTGCTAGAGCAGTCAGAGATGTCGTACCGATCAGAGCAGAAGGAACATTAATCAACAAGTCGTCGTCATGAAAATCGTGTTCGGTAGTTTCTGTCGCAATCCAATATTTCTACAGGCGTTGTCAAATGCGTCATGTCAACATTGGTCCCACTTTCAATGTTCGGTTTTGTAAGCTGCAAGGTGTAAATGATGCATGTAGGGGCCATCGACCTTCACTTGACAGCGGCAATCAAAAACTTGAGCGAACTGGCTAAGCCCCACCGAGCAGCTCATCTGAGGTTGACAATGACTTTCTTGCAGAATGGCGAAATCCTGATAGAAGCTTTGAAGAATTTACGAATCACCTTTATATACTGTGTAGAAACACCACCGCTCAACAAGTGCGCGTTGCGAGAACAGATTATATTTAAGAAAAAGCAAAGGGCCGACTCAGGCTAGTGGCAGTAGAAAAGAACAACATGACAGCACATAACACACAACAATGACTTGTTCGCGAGAAAATGCCTTAGTTTTGTCTGGAATCTTATCAAGTAAGATATTACCTCCCCCCTTTTTCAGGCATTCATCACTGGATGACGTCGTCGGGGCTTGATGGGGAGAATACGTTCCACCCCACGCTCCATAACCAAAAGCAGGTGCTGCAGGTGATCCTGAGAAGAATGGCATAGTCGTATTCCCACCAATCACGTGACCTCCTTGGAACAGAAATGGTGCCATCTAAAATTACAAAGACATATAGATATATGAGCGCAAAACTCATCAACTATCGAAACAAAACTTCCTTGAGTGCGTCTGCATTGTTCCGGCTCATGCGCTAGTGAATGATATTATTTCCTAACATATAAAGAACGTGCCACTTAATATGCATGAGACCATGGTTTAGGGTTTGTGAGGAATGTAGTTTCCGCATATGGTGCAGCCCTTTCTCGAAAAACTGGTAAACCTTGTATGCTGATTCTACCACCTTCACCGGCCTTGTTGACGGATGAAGTGATTCGGATTCCTTCCTAGACCGTGCAATTTTATTACTAACTCATTGCTTACCCTCACATCACTTTCTCTGTGGGATCTCTGAAGGTACTGCACACACTGCAATTTTTAGCCTCAAGAGGCTGAAAGATATTAGAAAGGGTCGTGCGGACAGTCTCACTATAGGGTGTTCACTATACATCGCATCAACAAAATAAACGCACATTCGTTTGACATAGACGTCTCTTATACTAATTATAGCTCAAATATATGAGTTTTTTGAGGAACTTCAGTCCGGGCATTCTTCTCCGGTAGTATGTTTTGTAGCGCAAGCATCCCTTCCCAGCATTAACTATACTCAACGACCCTTTCGCTTTCGGTCCTGGAGATTCGTAGGACATTTGGAAATGGAGGTGAAATCGCGAACATCTACTCAACACTAGTCTTGATGTTTTTCCATTCGTAGCAAGTGCGTGAGTGCATTCAAATCCTATCCCTGGAATACTCCTCGAACCTAAGCAGCACCTCAGAAATGTCCCTTTTGAAGGGCTTCTGATCAGTTTTTATGTTTTTCTCAACAAAAAATAAGGTATATCGCTCTGATGGCACAGATTCCAGCCCAAACCACGAAGAAGAGGGAAGTGGCTACGAGAACGATTTGATCCTTCTCAAATTCCTCGTCATTTGTAGTCAGAAATGTTCGTATACTCTGGGATTGAACATCTCTTTCACGTTGAACACTGTTTCATTAGAAGAATTATGTCGAGGCGGGTGCTGCGGGCGAGTAGGGTAATCATTTCCAAGCAATTGTATTCGGAGTCGAGTCATAATCTAGACTAGGACGACCGTGCTAAGGCTGCTGGCCGTCCACGCTGTCTATACAAGAGAATGTCATGCGAGAAATGTCAAAACGACGAGAGATTCCGGCAATGGACTAAGCAAACGCGCGCAAAGATGGAACAGCTGCTGGATGAATGCGAGGCTTTACTATTTTCGAAAACTGACTCATTGAGAGCACCGCAGTAGTTATATGATTTCAAGCATATATAAAAATAAGAGAAGGTGCAGACTCGGAACCCCCCTCCCCCAGCAAGGAATTTGCAGACTTCCGCGAAGTTGTTACCATATTTATGGCGCATCCTGTAGATAGCAAGTATGCACGTGCACGGCAGTCATCACGAAAGTATCCAAATGTGATGGTATTTTCGATAAACGAGTCTAAGTCTACAGCCACTTCTTCTTCATGAAGAACCTTTTTAGGATAGCTGCTGAGGGTTGAAGACGATTCATGCAGAGAAAATCTCCCCAATTCTATTCCTGCCTTCAATTGGCCGACGAATCCTTCCAAAAACAATCCAATTGACTGGTAGGTATGGTTCGTAGAGGATAGGAAAACATGCGCTTCAAAACACGCAACAATCGCTACTCCCAGGAAATCAATAAAGCCCGGACTGGAGGTTCTCAAAAAATTCAGCGTGCCGCCATCAATGAGTACCGAAGTGACTACAAGTCATGATCATCCAGAAAACAGTAATAAATGACGGTACGCTTAATTTGTTCAAGCAGTGCTTAATAAATAGCCTGTATGAATTCACCTCAAATCAATCTCAATTGCGGCTTCTAAACCGTGTTTATTTTGACACCATATTTATGGCGCACTTGAATAGCAGGATTATACAGTACAAAGGAGCCTCGCAGTAACGGCTCTAAAACCTATAAGCTATAAAAGAAGTGGAAAGCGCAAATCGGCAAGAAATAAGCTTTAGGACGAATACATGTAAGCATTACCTGAAAATCAGGAGTACCACCTTGTGCTTCTACACTGGAATGATTGAATATAGGAACTGCATAAGGTATCGGCAACCCCACGGTATTAACATCGTTCCTTTTCTCATCACTAAACAACTGCTGAGAAAAAGTTGAAGAAAGAAATCGATCACTCTGTTATCGTTACCTCTTTCCGTCAGTAATGCGCAGCGAAACTTCTCCTCGAGTACTCGACGGCCCCTGTAAAATTTGATGAAGACAGTACTGAAAAATGGAGCAAGAACGGGATAGGGGCAAACTAGTTCCACCGAGGCGAAGAACTGCAAATAATGTTTCGAGGAGAAATTTAACAAGGTACAAAAAATTTTTTCCTTGCTTGATCTCCCTTAGAGACGCACCCGAACATCGTACCGCGCTCGTCGCACCCGCTGCGTGTTAGAGTGCGCAATGTAATGGTAAGATCAGAGTTTTCAGTAACGACTACGGTAGTTAAAAGTACTGCCGCAAGCAAACCTTCAAATTCCGCCACACGATTTCAAATTTATGAAGGTTATGGGAATAGGAGGGACAATGGGACTTGGTCCCGCAACTACCATTTCGCAAAAACTAGAGATTCACGGAGAGGAAATCACCTGTAATTCTCCTGATTGTGGGCTTGGGCAGTAAATTGATAACCAATCCTTCTACTAAAGATGATGCGAAAGGGCAACACCGAATGGTTAGACCTAACGACCTACAACGGCGGCAGGAAATTCCTGTTACCGATCATCGCCGATTCATCGAGAAACGTTTCACACTCTTGAGATGTATACGATGTAGTCATCGAAAAACATCTTGTTCGTGTCATTCAAGTAATAGGTATCAGCAAAAAAAAGTACTAACGAATTTGGCATTGACAGATGCAGGTGATCCACTCAACACATTATCCACCACCATTTGCAGCACACCAGGTCCGTAAGATTCCGAATGTGGCGACGCTGCCTGGCTTGTACTCGAATTCGCTACCATTATCGGCTTGCTAACCGAATGGTCTGAGATGGAATAATATCAAGGAGTGGTCAAAGAGATCACGGAATGTTAATGGAAAAATTCAATTGAATAAATAAAAAGCAAATAGGGTACAAGGTTCCGATTCTCAAAATTAAACGTAACGGAGTGCGCACTCCTAGCAAATATCATTGATCTTAAGAGCTATGTAATCAGCTGATTACCCATTTCACAATAAAACCACAAAGATGAATTTGAACATTAGTAGCCAAGCTCACAACCAGGACATTTTTATCTCTATTTAGCCGAGTACAACTTTATTTAGTTTACCCCTTCAAGCAAAATTGCCGCATATCTAACAGAAACGAAAATTGAATACGGGCACTCGCTTTTACAGAAACCCTCTAGACTCTCGCTACCCACCCCGTATTCTTGCCCAATGCCCCTTTTCGGCGGGTGAGGTTACATATATTATTTTGATAAGAACATTGCAATCGTCGGGATCATTTGAGGTCATGCACTGATACCCACGGTGAACAAAACTCTTCCAAACTATCTGTTCTCGTTGAGCAGTTGCGGGTCACCTACATACCAAAAAATAGTTAGACGAATAAAGAATATATGTTAATACATATAAATCTATGCAAACAATGTAAACTGCAACTTACCCATGCGCCCCGTAGGCACACCGTTCCAGACGTTTTGGTTAAGACCATTGGACCACTGAGATTCAGCCATGTTCTCGTGCTTTTCGCGGCAAACACAGAATAGGGCACTTGTCGAAACTACTGTACAATGTTAGTAAACAAAAATCTGTACAGTATATACAAGGAAGACGTGCTCCAAGTCTCGGTTTGTTCGTTCTTCGATAATAAATCGCCTCGCCCGAATAGAACAGTAAACACGGTAATCGTACTTACAAGAAGACCCCACCAAAAATGAGTGGAGTAGTATGTACAAGTAACCTGAAAGCAAATTATGTAGTAGAAGAAATAGGCACACCCACAATTCTGATTAGATCAGTCCAGTTGAGACAACAGCTCTTAAGAAAATTAGTTTCGCAACGTTTTGTGATATTTATAACGTTCAACCACATAGCACAAGAGAGATGAATTTAAGGAACATCATCAGTCAACATAAACGCTTCTGTAGCAATGCAATGGATAATTTTATCGTGCATAAAATCACAGTGAGTACACTTTCCGAAAAGATTCCAATCAAGTTCGCACAATGGAGCTAGAGACTCTTCCGTACGCACTCATAGTCCTACTGTCCGTTGCAAAACAACGGTGCTCTTTCGACGAGAGCAAAAAGCATTCTCACTGAGTCCACATTTGGTTATCACCCTTTTATTGATTGATTATAAATTAAATATAAATGTTCTACAACCATACCATCCAAAATACTTCTTAAAGTTTAAAGGAATGTGTTCTACCGAAATTAATTAAATTTACCTGATTCAGCCGGTGGTTGGGACCACAAGTAGAGGCTGTTCGATTTTTTTTTNTTTTTTTTTACTACAATGATCAACTTCAGACACTGCAAAAAATAAAGTCATGAATTTGGAAGGTGTAGATGGTAGAATGAGCACATATGGTAAAAGTTAGCCAGTATCGGTAGATCAACATCCACCTCAACTCATGTAAAACCCATTGGCAACTAACGAACCTCGCGCCCAGCAGTTGCGAACGTATCTTCACTCAGCAAGATGCTAACTTAATCGAGCTACTTCCTATCATTCAATTCTGTATTATATCGCACTATTCTATGGTTTTTTCCTGGCTCAACTTAGACGTTAAGTCGTACATAATCAATTTAGGAACAGAAACTAAGAGCTAAGGGAAAACAAGTCGAGCAAAGCAACTAAAAATCGCTGGCATTCCGATTTTCAAACAGCAGAGGCAATGAATTCGCCTACAGAGTAATATAAATATTGGTACATCAAATCCTAAAAGTCCTAGTTCGAGGGCATTCGCCAAGATAATTAAGTAGAGACGTAAGTGAAGTTTCATCAAGAACTCATAACAATGCTGCAACCGGAACTAAAGAAAACAGCTCAAAAGTGAAAAACTTTTCAACAATTTGGGCCTGTAGACAAGAACGTAAAAGCCAAATTAGACAAGTTCTACGCGTGAACGGTGGCGTCGCAGCTTTTGCGTTGGGGCAGATTATTTTATGGTGCAAGGAAATATTGTGGGCATTGTAGGGTCTTGATAACTCGAGATTTCCCGTTTCATAATTGTGTGCTTCATATGATATCCACTAGGCATAACTAACCCAAGAATCTTCCACGACTTCGATCAGTATAGTGGACTTGGCAGTTTGCAGAAGATGACGATGCAGAAGACGCTATTAGTTCTACAGGAATGAAAATTCAGTACGGCTCTTACAGTAGCTGGCACGGCATAACCCACCAACCCCGTGTCCTTCACTCAAGGTATTTTTCTCTGCGCTCTAACCTTTCGCTGTTAGGGAAGCAGAGAAAGTTCAAGTAGTCGCGTCACCCATTTTAGTACACAATTTCCGGTTCTACCATCCACCATGAGCGTTCCCATCTTGCCGCGTGTATTACTACCTATCTTGAACGCTCTGGGTCTATAGGGACAGGATTCATGATCTTCCTCGCCTCGCCCACTAGGCCACTGTGGGCGGAGTCCGGTCGCGCTACCGACTATAGGTGTTCCCACTCTGCCGCTTGTACTCCTACCAAGTTTCAGCGCTTTAGGTCCACGGGGACAGAAGTTACGACTTTCCGCTCAAACATTTATTTTGCACTAAATCCGTCCCCGGTGGGCGGAGTCTGGTCCTGCCACCCACCATAAGTTTTCCCACCTGCTCCTGCCGCCTGTGCTCCTATCAAATTTAAACACACACACACACACACACACACACACACACACACAC